TCTCAGTTAGAACTGCCAGCATTTCTATCCCTCCCTCTGGATTCAAGAGACCACTTTTTTATTTTTTTTATGAGTAGTGTTTAAGTTGTGAAAAAATAAGTGGAAATAGTTTTTAGATGTTTTTTCTCTGGAGATTTAATTCTGCCACAGGAGAAGAGACACATTTTTTCCTAAACTCATCAATCCTAATCCCCTTCTGGCCATGCCCCTCCTACCATATCTTTTCCTTCCTTTTTCCCTCCTTGCCTATTGATCACCTCTCAGCTATATTTTTCCAAAACTCCATTGCCCAAGGTAGTAGCTTGGTTGAGCAAACAGGTTAAGGAGTAGAGGCAGCAATGGAGTGGGGAAGTGACAAAGCAAATTCCCAGGACATAGACTCATGGTCAGGGAGCTAAAGAAAAGCTGCTTCATTGCTTTTTTTTTGCCTGCCTCCTACCTTCTTCAACCCCTAAGCGTAAGTCGAGGATTTCAATATCTTAGAGTATTATTTACCTGTCAATAGACAAGTGTGAGGACAGAGCTATGCCAAGAATCCTGGCAGCAGAAAATGATGGTGGTTTACACCATGGTGGTTGCAGTGAATGTAGGAATACGTGGTTGGACTCGGGGTATATTTTGAAGGAAAAAGGCAGAATTTTCTGAAAAATTGGGCAAAAGGTAGGAGAAGAAGAAGAAGAAGACCCCATCAAAGGGACTATAAACTAAGATGGGGAAGGATGCAGAAGGAGTTGGCTGTGGAAAATGGGAAGTAGAGCAAGAACTCAGGTTGGGGCATGTGAAATTGGAGCTATCAAGAGGCCAGCTCTTGTTTTAATTGTAGTTCAGGGTAAAGGTCTAGGCTAGAGATGTAAATTTGGGAATCATGAACACAACAGGGGTATGTAAACCACGAGATTAAATGAGAATCCTTAGGAGGGACAAGTAGATAAAAAAGGAAGAGCATGCCAACACTAGAGGGTGGGGAAATAAGGAGGACTAGCAAAAAGGGACTGAGGCAGAATATATACTCCGGAATACGCGAGTCTTTGTTTTAATTGTATTTCGTTAGCAGAGTTTATGAATATGAATGAACCTTCACTATGTACTTTATCTTCTTTTACATCTTCAAAATATGACATGCCTAGTAACAGTATATACACACCCACATATGAGGATGGATTTTTGTGTGTGCCTTCGAATTAAATTGATATTAAATATAATGAATTAAATTATCGTAATAAATATATATTAAATAAAAGTGTATATATATCCATATGTACACTTTAATTCACTGTCTAATCAATAGAAAAATATTATGAAACTAATTTTAATTTTAATTTTCCATGTTTTGCAGCATTGTTTATATCCTATAAAATATTTTCTGTTCAAGCAAATATTTTGAATTTCTCCCAGTTTTGTCTGATTGATAGTTGACTCAAGTGTTTGGATTCAGGTTAAACTTCATACCACTATAAAATAGAGTTTGGCTATATTCTTTTTATCTAGATAATTAAATTATACTTATAACTTTCCATTTAAGAAGCTATAACTGTTAAAATATATGACATGTTTAAAGAGTAAGGCACTGAAGAGGTAGATGAAATTTATGTATACTTAAAATTATTTTGTGGCTGATGATATTTTTTCTCCATACCATACTATTTCATCCTGGACACCAACATTGGTTTTTATTGTGGAAAATGAATCTTTCAACCTCACTAGGTAAGATGCTCATCGTTAAAAGACTTCTTCAGAAGAACCAATGTCTGCTACATAACTCTGCTCCAAAAAAGACTGACTTAGGAGCAAGAGGCAGGAGTTAGGCTTACGTCCCATGATGGTGATTGAAGAGTGTTTTGGGGAGGGATGGGCATATATTGGGAGGGCAAAGATGAAAGAAAGATAAAAAAGATTAGGACAGGAAACACTGGCAATGACAAGAGAACCAAAGCAACTTGTGTTGAATATAAAGATGGAATATGAAAGTGGATTTGTAAAAGGTACTAAGAAAATTAGAATAAATTATGGAGGAACTTTAATCAGAGTCATTGTGTAGCATGAGCAAAGGTTTAGAGGGGATCCCAGAGTCAAAACAATGGCAGCAGGCGTCTTTAAAGATACTCAGTTGTCCACCTGCATCAGGCTCTCCTGAGGTGCTTATTACAAATGCTGCAACCTGGTGAAGCAGAATCTCTTGGTGTTGCCAAGGAGCCTGCATTTTTTCATTGAACACCCTAAGCCTCGTCCTCGTCCCCGATCGAATCTTGTGACTGCTAAAATTTGAACAGTATTAAATGAGGTGTAAATAAACAACATGTGAAAAATAAATTTTGGAAATATATGTATTAGAACCAAATGGAGTAGAGACTCTAAGGGAATTTGCAGAATAAGAAATATGTAAAAAAGACAATGGATATAGGTAATATTTGGAAATAAAGTAACAATGAGCTGCTGGGGAAGAATAATCTGAGCAAAGAAGGAAGGCAAGAGTGACAGCAGTAGAAAAGAATGAATGGGAGTGACTATATGAGAGGCTCAGAAAGAGGAGTCATGTGAAGAGAAAGGTGAAGACCACACATGGCCATGAGCACCCTAGCTTTCCAAGGGATAAGCTGTCGGAGGCCTGTCAGGACCCCTAAAATGACGCCAGGAAGCAGACTCTACTGGCAGAAGAGCAGACCTGCAAAGAGGGATCGCAGAGCAGTTATCACACATTGTGTCCTGTGTTGGGTCTGCAGTAGGCCCTGCTCTCTGCTCGCAGAGCTGCTGAGTATCAATCATTGTCCCCATCCCAGTGACCCATCTACATCTTTAGATAGTCATTTTCTTTGCAAAATAACACAGAGTTGTTTGATTTATTAAGGTCGTAGTACACTCCTGCACGAGATCTTCAGTCTCATCCACACAATGAAGCCAGAAAGGGACATAAGTAATTGGCATGGAAAATTGTTTTCTTTTTCCTTCTCTCAGTTTTTGTTTTTCATTTGCTAAAATATATGTAATAAGTAGTTAAGGTATGTTTTATTTGAAGGCCTCACTTCTGATGTTTAAAAGTCTACAAGAAATTGAAAGGAAATTCTTGTAAGGGTGTCACAAACTTCAAACTAGCAATGTGTTTCTTAGCCTTTATAAACCTGCAGCCCTCGCTGGCTTCTTGTCATATCTTCGGAATGGCCCAAGCATCCAAGGGCATTTCTTTTAATCGTTTTGCAAAATCAATCAATCAATAGAATAGAATATTCATTACATGTTTGCAAAAGAGATTCTCCTTAGAGATTCTGATAATTTCCCTTGAAAAATAATTAGGGTAACAACAAGAGGGCAGAGAATGCTTCCTAGATATTCATTTTTCTTATTGGTTTCTGACTTTTCAAAATGAGACGTGGAATTATGCAGGGGGGATAGTCAATAAATACTCAATATAGCCTTCAGGGCTTCGTGAAAAAGTACGTCAACAGTTGGGTGTAATGGGATACAAACAAGGGTGCACCAAGCTGCGCGTGCACCAAGACCTCCCTGTTCTCTCCTTCGGGCTAATGTTTTGCTGTTTGACTGCTTTCCCTGCTGGAATGTCTCCTTCATCTGTCCTAATGAAACTGGTCAAAGATTCCTTCATTCCAGGGAATCCCTACTCCCATAACGTGCTTGATCTATTCCTAGATGATGATTACAAAATCAATTGTGCTTCAATTAATAATCAAGTTTAGATTTCTTTGTAAGTTAGATGGAAAACCACAAGGAACAAAAAGGGCAATGATAAAATAACATAATTGAATTTTTATATTATAAATGTCCTTTTTTATCCAATAAAATTGTCTATATGCCCACTTAGCATTAATTCATTTTCTCCTCATTTCTCAGCTATTAGAATTTACTCCCTCCCACTCTTTCTTTGCTCAGTATCACAGGGGAAACTCTAGGTAGCAGGTATTCAGTGCTTCCTCCTGCAAAACACTGTCTTAGGCACTTCATATGAATGATCTCTAATCTTACCCACCTCATAGAATTGTTTGGATAATTATTTCCACTTTCCTGATGAGGAAGCAGAGGCTGCCTGCAGTCATCAAGGTAGTAAGTGGAAAACCAGGATTTAAATTGAGATTGGCTTAAGTATAAAAACTGACACTTTTCCCTCTGAACTATGTGGCCTCAAGTTCATTGGAAATTAATGTTAGTACTAATTTGTTTTGAATACTAATACTTGACATATACAATCATAAAGAATCTTCCCAGTCATTGAGCTTTGCCTAGTCTTAAAATGTGTCTTCATCATCTTAAAAATTGCTAGGGCATCATAAAGATCTCTTAGGACAGTTCTTATCTGTTTGATAGGATATAGTGATACATGGAGTTCTCTTTATCATTTGCCATCTGATATTAAGGGCTACAAATTCTTTCTGCTCTTTTGTGTAACTTGCCTTTCTCTTTGTTGTTGCAGTACTGGATACCAGTTTATTTACTATTCACCTGAAAACACAGCCAAAGCAAAAGAAGTCCTCAGCAACATCAATCAACTACAACCTCTTATAGCAACCCAGGCAGACCTACTGCTTAATTCTGCAAGCCAGCATTCTCCAGACAGCTTGAAGAATTCTTTAAAGATGCTTTCGGAAAAAGTAAGATCCAAATCATCACTACAGTCGGGGAAAATGAAATACTCAAATCCCCATTGGTGTTGCTTTCTGCATACATTGCCTTTCATAGCATCTGGAAATGTAAAATAGACCAGGTTAGAAAGCAGGCTTCAAAGTATTGCCATAGGATCAAAATGAATTGGCCTCATTCTCTTTTCAAATCTTACTGAGCACTAATATATTTTTTTCTCAGTCGAAAATGAAACCTTTTATTGGTTGGTGTATATCTTCTCTTTTTCTTGGCATCTTTTACTTTCTTGGGTTTATGATTTTATTAAATGAACTAAATTAGATTTTGAAAATTATTTTCCTCTAGTTATCACCTAATTTTTATGTATATAAAGCTATACATTTGAATAGGAATGTCACTTTATTAGAAAGCAGAACTTTGATGTGGATTTATCAGTGTCCTGGGTTACTTCCTCTGCCCCAGTTTGCTTTCTACAACGTTATCTACTGGGAGAAGCTTCTAAAAATTTCTAAAAGTATTAGTTATTTGAAACGTGGTGAAACCTAAGCCTTAGTTTTTCCAAAGGTGACTTGCTCCTGTATCTGCAGAGGGGAAAGGCCGTCTGGCATGGGGTAGGTGCTCAATATCAACTTCCAGAACTGATTAGGATAGCAGTATGATATAGAGAGAACCAGAGAGAAAAAGACAAATTACAGCTTGATTTTAAATGTAAAACTAGGTGTCCTGGAGTCTAATTCCAACGTGCTCATCCTTCACCTCTGCATTCTAAGGACATCTTGTAATTCATGGTGACACACTTCCAATAAATATGCCCTTGAAGAAACCTACAAAAGAAAATTCTACATTATAATTCTAGAATAAGACAAGAGTGCAATTCCCCCCACGTTTCTGAAGAACAGATTCATAGAAACCTGGATCTTATGTATGTCTATACTTTTTATTCAGCAGTGTTAATTTATATTATAATAATGATACCTTATACTTACTGAATATTTTAGGTTAAATTGTACATTTTAATACGTTTTTATAGGAGAAAACTAATATCAATTTTCATTACAAATGAGCTTATATCTACTCAGAAAGGTCAAGTGAATTGTCTAGTAAATTAAAAAGTGAAAAATCAAAACTCAAGACTTCCAGTTCAAAATGAAGCATTCCTGCCAGGCCAGAACAGGTGCCTCCATCATGAAAAGAAAGGAAAATGTTGACCCCAAGTACCTACTTTGTGTCAGTTTACAAGTCCCTACTTGGTGTTAAATAAGGCAAGGGACTTCATGCTTTACGTTATTTCATTCGATCTTTGCAATTGTGAGCAATGTCTTATCTCTGTTTCACATAGGAAAAGACTAAAGCTCAGAGAATTTTTTAAAATGTGCAAAGTCAAGCAGCAAGAGTCAATCCCAGGATTCAAACAAAACTAGGGTCCAAAACCTGGTCTGGGTGACTCTAGGATGGAAGCTCTTTCTGGTATCCTCCATCTAATATGTGGGTTTTGACATTTCCTTATTTAAATATTTTTTTAAAAAATTTTGTCAGACTACCTTCTCAGCAACGCTTAAATATGTCTTTAAGGCTAGGGAAAAAGGAAAAAAAAAAAGAAGAGGAGGTGGTCACATATAGTAAAATAATATAATTTCGTTTTGGTTCATTTCTTTGTGAGAGTTATAGATGAGGTAAGATTTTTTTGGGTTCACCTAAGCTGAAAATTTTAGCAAATAGCACAGCACTGCAGTGATTACAGAGCAATATTTATATTCTTCCTGTGCACTGGGCAGGGATTTGTCATTTCATACATCATTTACAACCTGCTGCAGTGATTTGGGGGAGGGGGCAGATATTTTCTTCTTTAATCCAGCATTGCTCCAACTTTTCCCCCTGTGTTTTCTACTGAGTAGACAAGCTTTGTCTGCTAATCACTCTCTCAGCCCTTAAAATTAGGAGAATCATTTTTAAGTTAAGTTTGCAATTCTTAAAGTTTCCTTTAAGAATTCATGCCTGGAATTTCAAAGAATTATCAAAGTCAACAGTTTTGTGTAGTCCATGAAAACTGTCAGTAACTCATGGTTTAGAATAAAGTATCCATTAATTCAGAATGAAAGAGAAATAGTTTTAGTGCTATCTTCAATTTAAATATAATTTTTATTAACAGGATTTAAGCTCTGCAAGTTTTGTTTTTAACTTTCAGGGGTCTTGTACACCATGAGCTAAAGAATAAAAATCTGTTCTTCATTGATAGCTCCTTGTTTCTTTTATTGATTCTGAACTAGTATGTTTGGAAAATTAATACTTAAAGTTGTTTCCTTAGGGATTCACCCATATAGCATATTCCAGACACAAGAGGAATTGTCTATATTTATGTGTTTGAGAGAATAATGAAGGTTTTATAGGATTTGAGCGCCTGAATGCGGGAGAGTTCACTGTAGTAAGCTGGGGTGGCGGGGGAAGGCTGCGAGGGCAGCCCAGGTGTATTGAGGAAGAAGGCATTTGATTTTGTGATGAGATGGCATCTCTCCTCTTAGGTGCGCGCTTGCACCTGGAGATGAGCAATAGAATCATTATCAATGAAACATATACTCAGAGTCTGGGAGAAAAGCAAGGGCAAGATAGAAACCCTACTTGCTGATAGCGCATATTCAGGGAGTCTCAGAGTAGGCAGTATTTGTAGATCACATCATCTCTACTGCCCCTGAGAACCAAGCCACAGGGCTAGGGCTCCCCAGCAAAATTCCATCCATCTAAACTCCCACTGATCGAAACAATAAACACAATTTATAAGAAGTAAAAATAATTCCTGAATTCATACTATTTGCCAGACACTGTGTCTGACACAACGGGTAGAAAATGGAAAAAATAAGACAAGGGCCTGTTCTTAGCAAGAAATTCAAGATTCTTGGGGTAATCGTTGTGATGATAATGAAGATGACAATAGCTAGCAATTACTGGAGGCTTAATAACTGTGAGGTAGAGTTATAAGGTCTTCAATTTTCACAGTTCCACGAGGTGGATACTATTATTTTCAACATTTATTCTTCTTAATCCTATGAAGTAAGTATTGTTAATATTTCCATTTTACACAGTTAAGGAAGCTGAGGTACAGAAATATTAAATAATGTGCTCACAGTCACACACCTTGTGTTTCTGGCTCCAGATTCTGTGAGCTTAACCACTATACCATATCTTCAAATGTACCAAAAGTGTAATGATAGATGCTTGTACATAGGACTAAGGAAACGTGTGGTGCAGGATGAGAGTATAGATGATATTTCACAAGAATGAAATTATATTTTTATAACTTTTTTATGTTCTAATGTGCACAGTTAAATTATATTGTGATTTTTAAATTCTTAGTGTGCCTTCTGATGGATGATTGGGTTTGGTTGCTATATATTAGTTCATGAAAATGTTAAAGAAATAGTTTAATCTTATGGTGTCATATACAAAAGGTAAGCTCTGAGTTTATCTGAATAATTCCAATAGAGAAGACAAAGGATAGCCCAACATTTTAACATAAGACAGAAGAGGTTAATAATAGACTGAAATAAAAATGGATTTTCCTTTTCCTTAGACCAGAAGTATGCAATTCTATGAAAAAGAAAAAAAAATAGGGAAAAAGGTAATGTAAAGAAACTCAAACTGAAGAAAAAAGAAAAAGAAGGGCCTAAATATCGGCAGTGTGTAGGTATCTCTCACAGCTCAGAAATATGGGTGACATTAGCTTTCAAATGCCCGTCACTTTCTCCATTCCATTGAGATTGATAGACCTTGTTTAGAAAGTCATTAGAATCCTGCTCATCAAAAAGCACTATTGAGCACTTAATTGTGTGTGATATTGTACTTGATGCTATCTGACAAATACTACATAGATATGGCCCTTAACTTTTACAACCTAAGAATTTAAAAGAATGAGGGGTGTTTTACGATATTACCATTGTTAAATGGTTAAAAATGGGTTTTGTTGCAAATAGAGGCTATGCTCATAGTATATTTGAAAAATTCTCACAGCTTCTAATTCCTAATATCCTTTCAACCTCAATATACTATAGCAAAGATTCTGTTATATTCAAAGAAAAATAAAAATCATTTTATTCTCAAATTTAGCTAGGGTTTTCTTTAAAAATGTTCTGTTTTCTGTTATAGCAATGCCAGGAAGCTAGTATACTTAGAAGTTGAAGATACAGATAATATAGCGAAGAATATTAATTATGTTGATTAGAAACTGAGAAGGAATTTTTTGTTTAATCACTTTAACCACTCCTACGTCTATGTTAATCCCAAACTGAAGGAAAGAAGTGAATGAGTAGAGGTTTTCTTTATTTATTTTTTATGTTTGTGAAAATATATTTTAGTGGCCTAAGGAAACTCAAGAATTACTGCTTTAG